GTTACATAGAAATACACCCCTTTGGCCTCTGCAATGCCAGAAGCTCCTCTTCCTAAAGGAGAGGAGCTTGCGTCTCAACTAAAATCGCGACGCTTTTCAAGGAAGTCCACGTCTTAAAGCTCCCCTCTGGTCAGTGCAACATTCAAACAATGCCTGTTGGTTTGTTTTTTAAATAATCTGTCGGCTCCAGCCTCCTGCATGTTGCAGGCACCAACGTTTTTCATACCTAAAATGCCAGCATTACACAGACACGATTGCTTTCGAAATGTAAATCACTCACATTGAGTTCTTTCAAATATAAAAATGGCTTTACGTCCTCAATGGTTGTGGACATCTGTTTAGAGTTTTATACCCAGATGCATATATATATTCAGGCATATAAACTTTAAACATATATATATAGAGAGAGAGAGAGAGAGGTGTGTGTGTATCTGAGTATAATATATACATCTGGATAATAATACACACACACCTGGGTATATATGTGTGTGTATATATGTGTATTTATATAGATAGATATAGATATATGTATGTATGTACATGTGTGTGCGTGTATGTGTGTGTGTAATATATATATACACCCAGTTATATACATACACATTATATATCTAATTTTTTTATTTTATATATATATTATTATATATATAAAATCTGTGTAGCGTATATATACCTAGATGCATATATATGTGTGTGTGTTTGTGTGTGTGTGTGCAGAAAATCCAAGAGATGTGTATGTGTATATATACCCAGATACATACATATATATGCATATGGGTATACATGCACACACATCTCTTGGATTTTCTGCACACGCACGGCTATATTTGCATATACATCAAGTATGCACAGCCACATTTTTATCTTGCCTGTTGGGTTTAATTCAACATTCCTCGTTTGAACGATATACATTTGTATTTGGCCGCTTTTTCTAGTTCTGGGTGTTTCTACACCAAAGCAAAGCGCCGTCTGTCTTTTCTCATGCCTGCAGCCTGCAACTCCAAGGCGATGCTGAGCTGGTTTGTACGGTGCGGAAAGACAAGCAATCCTAAACACCCTGAGCCTGCTGCAAACACGCATGGAGCAATCGTCTTCTTATTCCTCCCGTCGTTTATCTGTGTGTGCGTGCAAAGAGATTGTTCTATTGCCAGCAAGTAAGCTACAGAGCAGCCCTGCATATGCTCCTACTTAACTCTTGTTTTACACTCAGGAGTGACCACCCCCAAGAAGAAGATTTGCTTTGGTTTGGTTTTGAAGTGGCTTGGGGTTTGGGTTGATTTCCCCCACCAGCTGGCAGGGTTTCGGCCCGTTACCCCAATATAGATCTCACTCTCCCTTGCCAAACAAATCGTGTGTTTGTGTGTGTGATAGATAGATAGATAGATAGATAGATAGATAGATAGATAGATAGATAGATAGATAGATAGATAGATAGATAGCCGGAATCATCTATCTATCAGACTTTGCAGGCAATGGATTTGCGGTTCCTCTCGGTTTCTCGCAAACTCCTGCATCTCTTTCTCTCTCTCCCTCTTTAATTTATGACCTATTGGCTCCTGTTGACACCGTTTTCCACGCTGCCCGTATTGTAGTATTGCATTTTTAATACAGGCGTAATCAGCCTCCATGTCAGCCAAGACACCTCTGGTGGGTATTTGATATTTCACAGCTATTTAGTCATATTCCCCCCCATGTGAAGATGACAGACATTCCTTGGCGCGAGTCTTGCCTCCAAAGTTACCAGGTTCCCTATGAATTACAACCTGAGATCCATTTTCCTCTTGTAATGGGTTCGAGATTACAAAAGCGAAATACCGAAATATCTACTGGATTTCCTCCCGGCCTGGCTGTGAAGCCAACCTTTAACTATTCCCTTTCGATAGCTAAACCTGTTTTCCGCGGGTGCCTGCTTCCTTTTACTGGCGAGGCAGGAATGCGGAGAGCTATTTATATATTGGTTAATACCAAGTCGAAAATAAGCTCTGAACACGCTGTAAAAAATATTCGGTTACTTACAGTCCTGAAACAAGCGGGGAACTGATTTGAGGCACAGAGGATTGATCCGGAGGCACCGCTGTCGGGTGTGCACATGAGCCCAGCACGCTGGAAGAGAAGCGTTTGCAATAGGAGTTACTGTTAGTGTAAAGCGATTTACCAGACGTCTGTGCGTGCGGGTGCATGTACGTATGTGTGTGTGTGCGTGAGTACATGTGTGTGTGATATATATATCTATAATATAAACTTCTTCCTGGCTGCCCCGAACAGTTTTTTGGAGAAGTCGGTTGCTCTGAAGTCAGAGCCGATCTTCTCCCTTTCGAGACACAACCCCCCTCCCGGACTACGTCCAATAACTGCATCTCCCTCTCTCTCCATCCTCATGGAAAGATCCCTGGCGTTGAGCTCTTTGTGTGCCCCCCTCCCCTACACGTGCGAGGCCGAGTGTTTCTCCTGGACGTGTGCGCGCATCACCGCGGCTTCCTCGCTGGGCGCGGAGCTGGTGGCTGCCCCGGCTGGCGCTGGCGCTGGCGTCGCCATCCCCGGAGGAGGACCTGGCTTGAGCTCCATCCCGCCTGTGGCTTTGAAGGAGTTTATTTAAAATTTTAAAAGAACAAAAAAACCACAGACAAACAAAAAAAAACAATTAGCCCCCCCGCAAAACCCTTTTTGTTTTTCACCAGCAAAGCGCCCGCGAACCGCCCGCATTAACCTCTGCCTCCATGATAACGAGATCCCCCCCCTTCCAAAGACGGGGCGGGTGGCGCAGCCAATAGGCGACCCGCAGCTGGGCAATTAGTGACTGCCGACATCAAATGCGGCCGGCGCTGGGCCCCGCCCCCCCTGCGGCGCGCTGATTGGCCGCCGCGGCCTCTGACGACATATATTAACCCGGGCGGC